CCGTCTGTGAATCCTCGTCCTGTCCTGTCACGGCTATGGAGGCCGTCTGCGAATCCTCATCCTGTCCTGTCACGGCTATGGAGGCCGTCAGTGAACTCTTGCTGTGCTCTGAACTGGCCGATGAGGCCATCTCCGAACTCTCGTCCTGTTCTGAATCAGCCATGGAGGCTGATTGTGATCTGTCTGTCCATCTAGATGCTGATTTTGAACTCCCTGTCTTGCCAGTTTCTGTCACTCAGTCTGATCATGAACTGTCAATCTGTCCAAGATCAACCTATGAATCAGTTTTTGAATCGTCTGTCTGTCCCATTTCCCCTATGAGTATAATTTTGAACAATACGTCTGTTCCGTTTCGACCAAAGAGCCTAATTTAGAATTGTCTGCTTGTTCAGTTTCAATCTGTGAACCCATTTATGAACTCTCTTCCTGTCCAGTTCCAGTCAATGAGTCAAATTTTGAACTGTCTGTCTGTCTGTCCAGTTTTGGTCAGTGAGCTTACTTATGAACTGTCTGCCCGCTCAGTTGTCACCAGAGAAAATATTGATGAACTTCTTGTGTCCCCTGCCTTGGTCCGAGACCGTATATGCTCTCTCTGTTTCTTGTGTCTCAGTTTTCCCTAGGTCCCAGTCTCTACCAGGGGTCTCTGCTCCGTCGTGGTGGTCTTCTGCTCTGCCTGTTCCGTCTGCTCCGCCCTGGTGGTCTTCTGTTCTGTCTGCTCCGTCCTGGTGGTCCTCTGCTCCGCCGTGGGGGTCTGCTGTCTGGCTCTGGTGGTATTCTGCTCCATCTGCTCCACCGTGGTGTTCTCCTGTCTGGCTCTGGTGGTCTTCTGCTCCTCCATGGTGGTCTGCTGCTCCGTCTGCTCCGTGTGGTGGTCCTCAGTTCCACCCATACTGCCGGATCTGTCCTGGTTTCCTGCTCTGCCAGCTTCACCTTGGTTCTCTGCTCCACCCTGGCTTCCTGCTTTGCCGGCGTCATCCTGGTTCTCTGCTCCGCCCTGGCTTCCTGCTTCGCCGGTTCCGCCTGGGTACCCTGCTCTGCCCCAGTCTCCGGTCTCTCCACTTCCACGTGGACCTGGTCTTCCGTCCCTCCCCCTATTCCGCATCCGCTCCACCACCCTCCTGGATTATTTTGAATTAGGAGCTTCTGGAAGCCCCTCCTTGGGGGGCTATGTCACGAATCCGGTCTATGAACTTCTGTTCACTCACCACCAGAGTTCACCCGCTCACCACATTGACTCTCACACTACAAAGACTGTTACACTATCCCCTGGACTACATTTCCCATCATCCATTGCACTGATTACACCCACAGCTGTAACCAATCATACACCCTACATAAGCCATGGACTTCCTCTCTCTCACTGCCGAGTACTGTATAGCGTTTATCATTCTCCTAGCGATAGCTACTCTACGGAGCCAGTTTCTAGTTTTCATAGTCTAGGCATAGTCTTGCCCTGCCTGTTTTCTCGTATTCTGATTCTTGCCTTTGTTTCTTGGATTAACCCTTGTCTCGCCATTCAGACTCTGTTTGTACCTCGACTGGACTATTGCTCGTGTTTCTAGATTGCCCCTCTTGTCAAGCCCTCTGGATAATGTTCGCTGTTGACTGACTCAAGCCCGTTTTGGATTGCTCTTGTCTCGTCTGTGCCATACCTGTTTGCTGATGTTTTGACCCTGCCTGCTTCCAACCATGTCTCTGAATAAAGCTATGCGTATGGATCCGCACGTCTCTCGTCTCGTTCACCACTTTACAAAGTCAAAGATATTAGTTAAGATATTAGTTTTAATTAATTTATTATTATTTTTTAATTAATTTAATTTATGCATTTAGCAGACGCTTTTATCCAAAGCGACTTACAGTGCATTCAGGCTATAAATTTTTTACCAGTCAGTTTTACACAATATAAGTAATCAGTCTTACCAGGTTTGTGTATGTTGTTGAAGTGGGAGACCAGTGCTATTTGACACACTTTTTACATAAAATATTTATCAGGGGAGATATATTTTGAAAGTATTGCTTGTCAATATGCAATTTATAATTATAATTATATAAATCCCTTTGCTAGACTTGACTAAACATAACTATTAGACAGTATCTAAAAATCGTACAACATACATAGATATGTTCTCTAATGCCTCTGTCAAAAATAATAAGACTAGCTATGTTTGAGTTCAATATTATTAAGATAATTTTGAGGCTGTTTTGTGAAACTTCCCTGGCTCACCCCCTCCCTCCACCTGGGAACACAGTAAGCACCTTAACTGCTCATTGACATATGAAAAGTCTGACAGCCACCAATCCTCACAACCAGCAGTGTTTCAGCTGTATATGTCCATGAAACTTCACAGATTCCTGTATATGTCCGTGTACACCAGAGTATGTGGGTATTTCTGGAAATGTACTGTTCTGTGTAACTTGGCTCAGGTAATTTCCAAATACATCTGGCAAACCTGAAATTACACTGCAGTTTAACATGGCCAGATATTACCAGATTTGACCCTTTTCGTGCAGTGTTAGCTCAAACTGGAAATGTATTTTTAATAATCACAACCAATTATAATTAATTACATTTATTTATACCAGCTGCCAGAAGTAACTGTAGCAGAATTAATATTACACTCAACTAATCTGTTTGTCCAGTGAACATTCAGTGTAATTTCATAACACCTCTAGAAAGGCCAAGTTCTGTCATGAAATTCTAGATGACATAGGCTGATGGGTTCATGTTTCATACACAGCTAACAAGCTTACTGCTTTACTTTTAAATGGCTGGTTAGCGTTCACTAGAGCATTTTGCAGCGCGCTTTCACAGTTCCTCTGAAACCCTCCACCTTCCCCAGCTCCACCTGTATAGATCAGCTATGGGGTTATTTTATATGCTATTTGTGCAGCAGCAGTATGTCTTAAATACTCACAGCACCGTATCGGCTTATGTATTGGCAGTAGCAAGTTCCTGTACTTGCTTTGTACTTTCTTACAGTACTAACGCATTAGAGCATGTAGCAAGATCAGCTTGTTAAAGTGACTTTGTTTTGTAAGCAGTGACAGAATCAAAACTCATGTAATTGTGTTGCAACTCATTTAGCTCGTGAATTTTATCTGGTTGCTGTGGTAATAAGGAGTCTGTTCTGCCCTTTTGGGGTTGTTTGGCATTTGGGAGAGGGTCCCACAGAATCTCAGGGTTAGCTTGTTGGTTGTGGGGTGTTGGATTATTTGTTAAATATAACAAACAATAATGTGTCTGATATGTCCAGCTGTTACAATAATAACAACAACAATAATAATAATTATTATTGTTATTATTATTATTTACATGTGTTTTTCTAGTTATAATTATTTACTTCTTATGTATAATTATTCACTTATAATTAATTTGCGAGCTTATTTTATTTAGTACTCTAGTAGACTAATAATTACTTCATAATTGTTGCATTCCTTCTGGTACATTTATGGAAATTGATGCTTCTCTGTCGGTTTCAGTGAGGACGTGTGTAAGAGGGGTTTCACTGTGATCATTGATATGCGTGGCTCTAAGTGGGACCTGATAAAGCCGTTACTGAAGACCCTGCAGGAAGCGTTTTCAGCTGAGATCTGCGTAGCTCTCATCATCAAACCAGACAACTTCTGGCAGAAACAGAAGACCAACTTTGGCAGTGCCAAGTTCACTTTTGAGGTAAAAATGCAGTTATTGAGTAGTAGTCTAGTCCTCTGATCCTCTCTCTTGTAGTGAACATACTGCAGACTGTTATAATTCATTTATGGCTCACATCAAAGAACAGGCAGGCTGTCCTTACTTTCATCCTAAACTGACATGTCTGTTTCTACCTTCTCACTGACAGACTAGCATGGTATCTGTGGAGGGGTTGACCAAACTTGTGGACCCATCTCAGTTAACGGATGACTTTGAGGGATCTCTGGAATATAATCATGAGGAATGGATTGAGCTCCGTGTCGCTCTCGAGGAGTTCCTGGCCAGCGCCGTTCACCTTCTCTCCCGCCTGGAAGATCTGCAGGAGATGCTGGCTAAGAAAGAGTTCCCGGTGGACGTGGAGGGCTCTCGGAGACTCATCGATGAGCACACTCAGCTGAAGAAGAAGGTGATGAAGGCTCCGGTGGAAGAGCTGGACCACGAGGGCCAGAGACTCTTGCAGTGTATCCGCTCCAGTGATGGCTTCTCAGGGAGGAACTGTATTTCTGGAAGTGCCGACTTCCAGAGTGTGGTTCCAAAGATCGCCAGTCTGCTGGATAAACTCCACAGCACCAGACAGCTCCTGCACCAGATGTGGCACCTAAGAAAACTGAAGCTGGATCAGTGTTTTCAGCTCCGATTGTTTGAACAAGACGCAGAGAAGGTAAGCGAGCACTGGTTTAACCTGGTATGAGTTGACAAAATTATGGCTGTTTACTGTGTAAGCCAGTCAGTGTGTGAGTAATTGAGAAAGTAAGTAAGTGAGTAATTCAGTGAGTAAGTAAGTAAATGAGCGAGTAATTCAGTGGGTGAGTAATTAAATAACTAAATAACAAGTTGTAAAATTTGATTAGGGGAAAAGATACAGTTATGCTAAGGAATAATTTACCCCAAAAAATGTCCCAAAAACTGGTTTATTTCACTCTTTTTCCCAGTTAATTTAGATCACCAATATGTTTACAAAATGTATACTTGTCTTTGTAATGAGACTGACATTTGATGCAAGCTCAGTTTTGTTGCTGATTTATTTTAAAGGCTGATCCTGAAAAAAAAGGCAAATCAGATTTCTGACTCTAAATTCCAGTCTGATTTTGTTGTAAAAGGATTTTGATGAATGCATAAAAGTGCATTATAAACTGCAATAACAATTTATTTAACATTGGTATTTTGTATAGTATCAGATTATTTTTAAAGCAAAAAGCCGCTAAGGTCGGACTCATACTTCACATCATGCCTTGAGTGCTTTGTGTGTATTTCTGGTTACCCATGTAAAGCCTTGCTTTAAATAATAATAGTCAGACTTAACGCAAACATTGAATATGAGAAACATTGAAATGTTTTTATGTTTTTGATATTACATGCAATTTGGTGGAGTTGCTGATATACAGTATGGCCAAAAATTAAGACAAAAAATTCTGATATAATTGAATAATAATAACAGATATAATTAAATAAAATCAATAACAGTAAAAGAGATTACTTACATAAAATGGATATAAATAGCAGTTGTCACTGTATATCTGCCATTAATATGTCTTAAAAAGATGATATTTAAATGTTTAGATTTATGATCAAATCTCTGTAGTTTTTATTGTGGGGGCCAAAACATACAATGCAGTGCAATACAGTGATGAATGAAAGATGTACAACATTCCTTTAAAAGCTTGATGTATCATTTTTTATACTCAGATTCAATAAAAAAGTTGCTTTAGTCTAGTAAGTATTCATCTTGAGATATTACTAACAATATAAAAGTTGGTCTTATATTTACTTTATAAAAAGCATTAAAGATCTCACAGCCACAAGACAAATGTCTAAAGGGGGACATTTTTTAATTATACTGAAATGCCTTTTTCTTGCTAAAAAAATTTAATCAATCAGATGACAGAAGACATGTAGCAGATTGTGGGCAACAGTTTTTCCAGCAAAGTTCTGATCATGTTGATAATGCAGAGTGTGAAATTGTAGGCTTTATAGGGTTAAAAGTGTGACCTCACACTAACTCCACCCACTTCATGAGAGCAGTGAGTTTGAGATAGACGTTCAGAGATAAGGTGAAGGGCCGGAGGGGCCGCTCACAGGGACCCGTCTGATGCTGAGTACTCATAAGTGCTTTGTGTTGATGATTTCATTTCGCTCAGAGCACAGGCGTTTATTTTTATCTCCCACACACAACCTTTCACTCGTCGCCGGTGAACACGATTGAAAATCATTTATCTGTCAATGAGCCAGGCCTCCTTGTGTCAAAAGGCAAAGTGCGAGCAGTCATTCTGCTAATTAATACCTCTGTCCAACTTCTCTTAGAACGAGCCCAGACCTATTCGATTAAACCGGCCATTTAATGTAGTAGGAATGCAGGCAGTCAACTACATTATCAATTATGCTGTCTCTCAGCTCTTATCTTGATTACAAGTGCAATTAATTTGCAGCTCTAATTAAATATTTATTTAGGACAGTTATTCGGTATTGGAGGATACATTGTTTGTAACTCAGAAGCAGCGGAGGCCATGGCGGTGAAACATGTGCACAGAATTTTAATGACTTTGGTATTTGCATATTTGTTTATTATTCGTTATGTTGCATTTCCATCTATTAATTAAGGCATTCTTATGAATTAATTAATGCAATGCATAAAGCTTTGATGTGTAAAGTATGTACAGTTGCAACAGTATAAGATTTAGAATGGATTTGTGCATTAATTGGCAATACAATTTGATTGTCTTATTGTTTGGGCTCCAGGTAGAAGAACTATTGTAGAAGTCAGCTTTTAGAATTTAGAATTTTCTTAAAAAATTAGTCATACTATTTGATCTGATCTTTAATGGCAGAAATAAAATAAAATAAAATAATGCTAAAACTACTACTACTACAACTAATAATAATAATGGTAACCCCTAAAGGGATCACAAACTTTTTCTTGCAACTGTATGTAGCCTATATGATGGGAATGACAAACTCTGACATTGACAAAAAGGTATTTATGATGCCGATTGTGTTAGAAATGTTGCTAGACGAATGTTCTAGACAGTATAATCCTTTAAAAGGTCCTACAACTGATATCTGTGCTTTAGCGCAGCACATTATCAACACGTGGATTTATCTAAATTAGACGGGCTGTCATGACAATACAGCAAACCATTCTGATTGTACAAAATAATCCTTCATTTTTCCTACTAAAACACAGAACGCTGTTAATCCAATGATGTCTCCCTATATTAACACTCTTATCTAAATGCACTTGTCATTCTGTTATCTGTCCTTAGCCTGCCGAGTGTTAGTCTGTGTGTTTGATTAATTATGCTTGCTGTCAAGTTAATAACAAACCCCCAACTGTGGTGGTATTTAAACTTCATAAAGGAATGGTGGAGGATTATATGTAATGATTCCTTCTGTTCTCGTCTCTCTTTAGATGTTTGACTGGATCAGTCACAATAAGGAATTGTTTCTTCAGAGCCACACAGAGATCGGCGTGAGCTACCAGCACGCTGTGGAGCTGCAGACTCAACACAACCACTTTGCCATGAACTCCATGGTATGTCATGCTGATGCTTGTGGAAGTCTTGTTTGCTGGTCTTGAATGCCACTACTTCTTAACTTAAAAGTTCAGAGAATTCATACGTTTTGTATGAGTTGGCGATTTCATGTGCATTTGAACATTTATACCAAATCGCCAATTCTCTAAATCATAAAATACACTACTTAAGAATTGTCACAAGAGTGTGTCGTTCATACCATTTAAAGGGATAGTTCACGGAAAAATGTAAATTCTGTCATCATTTATTCACTCGTAAGACTTGCGCTCATTGGAACATCAATATTTTCTCATCATATTTGTCCATGTATTGAAAAGACACAAAACCAAAATTTTCAAGATTCAAAAAGTTCATAAAGTCTGTAAAAGTAATCCAAATGAAACGAGTGGAATAATCCAAATCTTCAGAAGAGACCAATCATCTTATTAATGATTAATGATTTTGTCTCTTTGGAAGGCTTAAAGAAGGATTAAACAGTTTGATTCATATGGGTTACGTTTACAATGTTTATATGAACATTTCAAAGCTTTTTGGTTGTGTGGAATTTCAATGGATGGACAAAAGTGATGAGAGAATATTAAAAATAGCATCATTTGTGTTCCAAAGTAAAAAATGACTGTGAATTTAACAGTAAAAGACTGTAAAAATGCTACAGTAAAGACCTGTTAAATGGTTAACTGTAAATTCCCCTACTATATACGGTGAAAAACTGTATTGGACATTACATGTAATTTTACGATAGTATCCAGTTTTTGGAAGTGAAAAAGACCGTATAATTTACAGTGAATAACCGTAAATTGACATTCCCAGAATTTCAAATTAGATTTTTTTTTTTGGAAATAACTATGTTTCTTAGTTTTTTCTTATCAGTTTTGTATATTAGGGTTGTATGTTACACCTAATGTTGTTAAATGAATGTTTTTGTGTGAATGACACTGTGCACCTTCTATATATGTTATTATTTAAAAGCTGCTTGTGATAGGCTTTGGTTCATCATGTGACTTTCTCATCACCACCTGCATTTGCTGGTTATCAGTGTATTACAAAGGTACAAAACTGATTTCAGTACTTCAGTAGGTTGGTATATTAACATTATTTCAGTTAATGAAATTACGGTATTTAACTGTAAATTTAAGTTAAAACCGTAAAACCTAAAATGTTGCTACCGTGTTTTTTACGGTAAAATTCCGGCAACCACAGCTGCCGTTTTTTTACTGTACATTTTTGATTCAGTTTTGATTCAACTGTCCCTTCAGGAGGGTGGCTGAGCTGGTCCACTGTTCAAAGTTAACCAGTTTCCCACAATCATAGCAAAGGTCGTCTACCAGCCTTTATGCAGCTTATTCAGCGTGATTGATGCTCACAGTATGTCGTGAAGCTCCTCGTTCAGAGAGCTGTCTTCTGCTCAGCTAGCCAGGATTCCTCTCACCACTTTAATCAACCTCCCAATCATCTGAGCTCAGACACAAACACACTCACGCTGCTCATTCATCCTCCTCTTCTTTATCCCAGCATGATTGTTGTTTTATGCCTCATTAAGCTATGATTCCAATATGAGTCCGTTTGTGTTCACAGTGTCATTAATCTGATCAGGTTAAATGAAAGGCTTTCTCTTTTGTGATTAACACGTTTAAATGGCTAGTTCTCTAAACTCTAAATTCTAATTGGATGAGCGGTGTTTGACGCTATATACACACTGTCATTCAAAAGTTTAAGAAACAAAATAATTTTTTATGTTTTTATTTGATAAAAAATACATAAAAAACTGTAATATTGTGAAATATTGCAATTTATTTCTGTGATGCAAAGCTGAATTGTCATTTAAAATAGAAATCCTTTGTAACAATATACACATAAAAGAACTTCTGGTAACACTTTATTTAAAAGTGTCCTTGTAACACATTACATGTACTTACTATTATATTAACAATTAATTATGGATAATTACATGCAGGTAACCCTAAGACAAACCCTAATCCTAACCCTAACCATACAGTAACTACATGTAGTTAATTAATATTACTCAGTACTTAAATGTATAATTACACTGTAACAAGGACACCTTACAAAAAGTGAAACCATGCTTATTTCCTTTTTTTTTTAATAAATTCATATTTTTAATGTTTAATTGATAAAAAGTGATAGTAAAGACTTTTATTGTTAGAAAATATTTATATTTTAAATAAATGCTGTTCTTTTTAACTTTTTTGTTGAACAAAGAGTCCTGCGTATCACAGATAAATATTAAGCACTGCAACTGTTTCCAACATTGATAATAAATCAGCATTTTAGAATTATTTCTGAAGGATCATGTGACACTGAAGACTGGAGTAATGATCATGCTGAAAATTCAGCTTGGAAAATCGCAGGAATAAATTTAATTTTAAAGTATATTCAAATAGAAAACCGTTATTTTAAATTGCAATAATATGTCACAATATTATTTTACTGACATGCACACTATAACACACAACCTCCAGTGATTTATTGCTTTATTTAAATACTCTAAAGTTGGATTCTCACTAGTTTATATGTCTTGCTCTTCTGCAATGTTTGTTTATGTTACGATGCTGTCTGATCTCTTGTTTCCCAGAATGCATATGTGAACATAAACCGCATCATGTCGGTGGCGTCGCGGCTGTCGGAAGCGGGTCACTACGCGTCTCAGCAGATCAAACAGATAGGCACGCAGCTCGATCAGGAGTGGAAAAGCTTCGCCGCCGCTCTCGATGAACGCAGCACCATCCTCGCCATGTCTGCCGTCTTCCATCAGAAATCCGAGCAGGTGCCTGATTTCTTATTTATCATATGTAGCTCTCAGAACATGCAAATGCTGTTAAAAACAATGATGGCAGTGGTGTGGTGGTTTCTAATGGCCTGTGTCTGTGCAGTTTCTGTCTGGTGTGGAAGCGTGGTGTAAGATGTGCAGTGAGGGCGGGCTGCCTTCAGAGATGCAGGATCTGGAATTGGCCATTCATCACCATCAGACGCTTTATGAACAGGTCACTCAAGCTTATACAGAGGTGAGAACTCAACTCTGTACGATATCCTGCATTTGAATTTATGCCCGATTTAGGCTGTTTAGCAGATGCACTTCCTAGCATCTGATTTCCTTTTCGAAAACATGCCAAAAAAAAAAAAAAAATGTTGAATGACACAAACAGAATTCATTAATTCATTAATTCATTCATCAATTAATTCATTCATTCATTCCTCTTTTTTTTGCCTGTTTTAATTTTTAATGAGATTGCAATAAATAAAATATTGGAATTCTTGGGAGAAAAGTTTTATTTTAAAACATGTTATATTTGAAAAGCATTTAGTTTGGAAAATAGTTTGGTAAATTCATAATTTGATGGTTAAAAACATACAGTTAAACACCATTGTATTAAAGGGATAGTTCACCCAAAAATGAAAATTCTGTCATTAATTAAAAATGATTAATTAATTAAAATGATTGTGTATTTATATTGCATCTACTAATAATTAGATATAATTAAATCATTTTTTACCAATGCAAATATGTTAGAAATTACAAATGCCAACTTGTATCCAATGCACAACCGAGGCATTCGTTGCATCCAGTGGGGACATAATTATGGATTATAATGACTTGCGTTGCATCGCGCCGCGTAAAAACTTGCTTTAAATATATAAAATATAAAAACTCTTCAAATATAAAAAACGTACTTACAGTCTGTGAGTCAGAACAGCCGGCATTGTAGTCTACTCTACCAGGATCAGGAAACAGTCCTCCATAAAATGAGCTGCACACATCTGAACATTTGGGTTGAACTGTTCTGGAACAGTGTTGTAAATACAAATTAACCACTGATTTCTAGTCGTGTCCTCTTTTGGAAGACCAAACAAAGTAGTTTCGCTTTCACAATGAATCACAGCGTCACACACGGTGGCCTTGAGTGAGCAGAGGCGGGTGGGCTTGAGAACGGCACGGCCGGGCGATTTCGACGAAGGAGCGTCCGGCAGGGCTTGCGGCAACCACATGTGACGACCCCGGGCTGGACTCCGCTTCGTCCACGGTGAAAGC